TCATACAAATTATTATAGTATCTTCCTAATTCTATTTGAGTTCTTGTAAGCATGTTATTACCAAGTGATCAGTAGAGGCTCAATATATTATTTAACCAGACTTCCATCTATCCAAAAATATATATTAGAAATATTAAAACATTATATATTTTACTTATGAACTCAGTTTTTTCTAAAAGTCATCTATCACCCTAGCCATTTGGCTCAGTGGATAGAGTGTCAGCCTGCTTACTGAAGAGTCCCAGGTTCGATTCCAGTCAGGGGCATATGCCCGGGTTGCAGGTTCGATCCCCAGTAGGGGGCGTGCCGGAGGCAGCCAATCAATGATTCTCACTGACCAGTGATGTTTCTATCTCTCTCTCCCTCTCCCTTCCTCTTTGAAATCAATAAAACTATATTTAATAAATAAACAAATAAAAGTCATCTATCTATAAACTAGCTGGTTGAAGAAGCAATGAGCTAGCAAATCTGTGTGAGGTAGGGAGTGTCAGATAAAATATAGGACACCCAGTTAAATTTGCATTTCTGGTAAACTAGAGTAATTTCCAAAGCGTTTATCAAACCTGAGCTAGGGTGCACATGTACTATAAAAAAAACAACTTTCTTATATATTTTAAAAACTATAGCTAGAGTTACAATTGAAATTCTTCATATTCCAACTTATGACCCGAAGGCATAGGACATTCTCACTGTTTCTCAACAAATATAAACTAAAACAGATTTCCAGTCTACTTTTCACTTATGGAAGAATTAAACAGAATACAATATTCTTTTAGTATTCCTGCTTTTCAAGATGTTACTGTAAATGTTACTATAAAAAATATCAAAATAAATTGGTAATGCTGATTTATCCCAATGATAACTAGACAAGAAATTTCCTAACCTAAACCTAATAGAGATGAGTTAGAAATTACTTATGTAATAAAAGCTGTAACTACAGTAGTCTCTCTTTATCCTTGGTTTTGTTTTCCATCGTTTCAGTTACCAAGGTCTGAAAATATTAAATGGAAAATTCCAGAAATAAACTATTCAGAGTTTCAAATTGCTTGCCATTCTGAGTAGCATAAAATCTTGTGCTGTCTTGTACTGTCTACCTGGGCAATGAATCACCCTTTACCAGCATATCCACACTGTATACATTACCCATATACAGTAGCCATCGTAATATCCCAATGCTTGTGTTAAAGTAACGCTTATTTTACTTAATAATGGATGCTGGCAATTTGGACATGCCAAAGAGAAGTTGTAAAGTGTTTGCTTCTTTTAAGTGAAAAGGTGAGTATAGTACAATACAATATTTTGAGAGATGACATTCACATGACATTTTATCACAGTATGATTGTTCTATTTTATTAATTTCTTGCTGTGCCTATTATAAATTAAACTTTATCATAGGTCTTTATGTATAGAAAAAAATAGTACATATACGGTTCAGTATTACCTCAGTTTTAAACATCCCCTGGGGTTTTGTAATGTTTCCCCCTCAATAATGGGGACTACTATTCTCTCCTACCACAATCTCTTTTGAAGATTTTAGTACCCCAGAAAACTATGAATAGAAAGATATGATTTTACTAATCACTCAGTATTTTTCCTTGTTATTACCTTTTCAAAGATTTGATAGAGAAAACTGAAAATGTTTATTTGAAGTTTATTTAAAAAGCTCACTATTAACAATTAGCATAGTAAGGAACTGAGATAAAACATCTAGTACTCCTCTGACTTTTAACTACATATGTTTTCTTACCATTTCAAGATACATTTTGCTGTTACCATCACCTGTTTTTGTTTCTGAAGATATGCTGATTAAAATATCAAACTGCTTATTCATGTTATTCTTTTCTTTTCATCAACAATGCCTGGCTGCCCAACACACTGGCACCATTATCTCAGTTTTCCCCCTAATGCTCAGAGTCACACTACCTTAAATGCAAATCAAAGGCTGTACAACTACAGAGTTCCAAACAATCAGGAAGTATATCATACCATGTAAAGTAGGTAGTGTCCTTAACATTTGTCTTCTTCCCTCTGCTTGCAATTACCTCTCAGCTTTATAGGATCAGGTTTTCAGTTAGCTTTGAGCTCAGTGGAGTTGTGCTACAGTGGAATTAGAGATTAGCAGTATCTGCTGCCAGTTGTACCCTTTTCAAACCTAATTTTGGAGATCCTGATTTGCCAGGTAGAAACATATCAAAAAGGGATAACTGAGCCCTTCCTCTCCCCCAGCCTCCATATCCAACTGCATGCTATCTTCTAATTATCTTTCACGTGCTTTTATTTCTTCTCATCTCCACTACCCTTTGTTTTCCCTCAGCTACAGACTTGATAGCTGTGTCCCTGCTTTACACATGTGTCCCTTCAATCTAGTAAAAGAAATCTTTAGGGAACACTATATAATCAAGTTAGTTCCCTATCTAATTCTCCTTATGGCTACTCAATATCCTCAGAATAAAGTCCAAATTAAATAACAAGACCTGTTAGGAGCCTTCATGACTTGTCTCCTGCCTACTTCTCAGTCCCCTTTCTCAATATACACCAGCTTGACTGAATTTTATTTAGTTCTTCAATTTCCCTCCTTTTATTCAAAGAATCTAGCACAGTGCCTAGCCCCTAGTAGACATTTATATGTAGATATTTGTTAAATAATGGACAGAAACCGAAAGTGATAGGTCTAATTTTTCAGCCATATTAATTACCCATGATTCTAAGGAGAGCAGAGAGGGACACATTTGATTCCTCTAGGAGCTTCTCCATAACACATACAAGCCAAGAACAGATTCATACATATTAAAGTCTTTAGATATCTGAATAGTATTCTTAGTCTCTTGAGTGGAAAAAATTATTAGATATATAGCTGTACCCCTGGTCAGTGAATTAGCATGGTCTCACTGAAGAGATAGCATTTGACAATGCTTTCTTTTGGCTGAACCTCTACATTTTGCTTCCCAGAGATGAATAAAAATACTAGTCAAGTTTCTAAATTTGTAAAAGCAATAGATTATTCTACTCTTTAGCACTGCCTAAGCCCCTGCCTCTATGCTAAATACTTTTTTAAAATAATCTAAGGCACAGAATTTGAACTCAAATCTGGCTCCAGAACTTGTGCTCTGAACCACAATGAGATCAACTTGGTAAGTTATGTCTGATCCATACTACACAGGGTGTAGCAAAAGTAGGTTTACAGTTGTGAGTATGCACAGATTATTCTTGTTTTATTACTTATTAATTATTGTACTATTTTCCATAGGAACAACTGTAAACCTATTTTTACCCCACCCTTTATATGATAATTCTGGAAAGAAAAGGAGCTCAAATTTAGACTCCATGATTCAGTTCCTATGAAAAGCACATCTGTAATAAAGAATATCTGAGGATCTTTCTGTATGTCAAAATGACAAAAGGTTTAATCTTGCATGTCAACTGGAACCACCTTAGTGGTGCCACATTGAGAGCAACTCAATATATTGAGAAAGTTAATGAAAATAGTGTAAAATTTATGGTTTTACCTATATGTTACTAAAATTCCTGCAAGTAAAACTGATCACTTATTCAATATTAGAATGAAGCCAGATATAGGCTCTACAGGCAGAACAGTTTTAAAGAGATGATGAGAAATGAGCAGAGTTCAAATATATCTTTGAAAACATGTGAAAAAATAGAACATAAGTTACTGAAGTGATAAGCCAATATAATCAAACTCATTTGCCCTCTGTGGCAGACTTCCCTGAGCATTCAGCAAGACACTTACTATAACATACAACACTTAGAGACATGCAAATGTATACAGGTACATACACAACCTAGCTTGTGCTATGCAAATTAAATATAAATTGTTCAATAACTTTTCCAATTATATGAATTGATCATTAAAAATTTTACAATTCAGGCATCCTTGCCTCTGAGTTCCTCTTTCTCAAGTTTTATAGAACTACTCAAATACTTCTATTACACGTAACTAAAAATTCCATAGATTATAAAGTCCTATAAAAATACTGGTTATATAATTTAAATTACCTCTAAAATTTAATGATGAGAACTTATACAATTTAATTAAGAACTAAATTTTAAAATTCAAATCAAGAAAGAATAGTCCATCACATAAATCCAGTAGGGTGTGTGTGTGTGTGTGTGTGTGTGTGTGTGTGTGTGTGTATCTCAAATGGAAGTATGTGGAGGAAAAAATTCAAAAAATTTTAAAAGGTTCTATATTAAAATAGATTGAAATAACATTTATGATCTCAATTACTTTAAACCAGCATTAGAATTAGCTTAAGCCAACATTTTAAAAGAACTAAGAGACTCAGTAATCTTTCCCCATTTCTATAATACACATAAAAGACTAAAACTTGGGGGGCATGAGAGGACAGAACATAGTAGCTATCTCTAAGTTTATAGAAAAGGGGAAGAAAACACATTTAAAAAAATGAGACTGCTTTAAATTTTCATAAATATCCAGAAAATTGAGGAGAGTATTTAATAAATACTTGTCCTTGAAATTATTTTCTCCATCTGATTATTTTCTACAAGCACAAAGAAAATATGCCATTATAAAAAAAATTAGGGGCATGTTTATTTGACTAATTAATCAGCAAGTACATTCTGAATATTAGGATGAAAAAAACTAGAAATCTAGTTAACTAGATTTTGAAGGAGGCATGTCAATAAAAGGAAAAAGATAAAAAATGTTCTATTACTTAAAGCTACTTAAAAAGTAGCTTATTGTTGAAAACTCAAGTTTAGCACATTATTTCAAGTAATGCAGTTTGTTTTTCTAACCTGTAGTATGTACTTACAAAAACGAATGAGGCAAAATCTCAGTATCTCTGTTGGTCTTCCTAGATCATGTTAATTTTGCTTTTTGGTTAAATACAAAGGAATAGAATTATGGAGAGTTCAGCAACAAGTTTTTCATTAGGATATGAAATCATGCCACGAGCTCCAAAAAAGGGTTAGTGGTATAAATTTGGGAAATAATCACTCATGCAAAAATCAGAAAATACCTGTACCGAGCCACCATGTCTGTCTGCTGCAAGGTGAGCTCTCAAATGGTGGGGATTTGCCTGCTGGGAGTCCCAAGCTGCCCTGTGGTCTGCCGACTGCCATTTATTTAATGCATGTGGCATGGATGGAAGAAGAAAAACCCAATATGTTAAACATCTCATCCTTATAATATAGAAAACAAACGTATAAAAGGAAATTTTAAAATACCCTTACTATTCTGAGTCACAGATGCAATGATACTGCATGTGGAGAGATTTTAATTAACTTGCTACAATTATTTCATGATCAACCATAAAAATAAAATACAACCATAGAATTTTAGAAGTGAGAGGACTTTAGATGTCAAAGACTCCACCCTCTAACTTTATAAATGAAATTAACAAAGAACAGGGAGGTAAAAATGATGTGCCCAAGAAAGCACACCGAATCAAGCATGAGCGACCTAAAAAACCATTCACTATATTTTCTATAGTAGCAGTTCTCATTAGTTTTCTGATGAGGAACAACTTCTAGCAAGGTAAGAAAAAAAATAGTACTTAAATAGTAGTTCCTAATATTCTAGAAAACTTTTCTCTCCTGTTTCTGATTGTGTAGATAATATGAGAAAACAGAGAAGTTCTTTGAAAAGTAAAAAGGGCTATATAGAAGACTATGAGAATATGAAATTTTTAAAAGTAATAATCCTACATAAGCTTCCTTAATCTTCTTTTATCTGGTTCAAATTAAGGAACCCATTTCCCTGAAATAGGCTGATAATTCTTGATGCTTTTAGATGATTTTGGCAAATTTGCATAATCTACTAGCAGAAATAGAAGGGTTTGAGTCTATGTGTTCAGGAAAATGTGGACAGCACTAATAAAAAGAAGGGGGAGAAATAAATACAATATTTTAAGTTTCTATGACACATTGGTTCTGCATGAGGTGCTTTATATATGTTAGCTCATTTTGAGATAAATAGTATTATCCTATTTTACTGATGAAGACGTTGAGATGTGAAACACTTCCCTAAATCACAGAGGTAGCAAGGAGTACAGCAAAGATTCAAACTCAGAGCCTACTGCTTCTCCAATAACCCTACCTAGCTCCTTAACACAATTACATCATGTTCTAAAGCCTTTGGTGCTCTTTACTTTCTTTTTCAAAGTCAAGAAAATCTTGCCATAGAGGGCCAAGCACATTAGTTTATAGGGAGTTGAAGAATATCAGTGGTGACAGAAACCCTTTGGGAAGAGAGGAGATATTAAAATTCAAGTGGACACAATAAATAAAAGTTCAGGCACTAAGTTCCCTAAATTAAATTGCACAGTTCAAAATTACATACTTTGTGGCATGAAGTATGTAATCATAAAATAATGATGATAATTTTATAATATCTTTTCATTAAACCCTCCAAACTCATCACCATAATTTAGCAGATGTGTAACTTAATTAAATAAATTAGATGAGTTAAAAATCTGAACAGAATAGGCGAATGAAAATGATGTTAAAGTTGAGACAAATATCTAAATGTAGCCTCGGGACAAAAGGCAACATTTGGGGGTCACGGACCTTTTTAAGAAGATAGTAGAATAAACATTTACATACACCCAACACTTTCTATAAAATATAGGATCCGCTAAACTTCAAACATTGACTCTAGGTTACAAATTGTTTACCTTGGGACATAGCAAAGGTTTTAGCCATTTAAAGAATGAATTTTTCTTCTTTTGGGATTGTGAACTATGTGTTTCTCATACAACTTAAAACTATTTACTGCTTCACAGATATCTAAGAATTTTTTTCTAGATAAACAACTTTTTCTATTATAATGACAGTCTGCATATCCAAGTTTCAAGTTCAATATGTAAGCTATATTAAAGGATTTCCAGGAAAGAAAAAAAATCACTGACTCCCTACATTTAGCTGAACAAGGACAACATGAATAACATATGGTTCCCACCCTCAGTGAGCTAACAATCTAGCTAGTAAGACATATCTGAAGTCAACCTCTAAAATATTTAAATTAAAATTTAATTCAACAACAAAAGAAGAGCCTCACTTACTATAATACCTAACAGCTTAAGTGGAAATATTCAGAGAATATGAATTATTAATTTTCTTCCAAAGTACATTTTAGAAATTAACTGATTTATTAAATACAAACTCTGAGTCTTGACTTCTGAGCCATTTCTTTCTATACACAGCATCTACCAGAGCACTTAAGCTATCAAGAAGTTGTAATTTATATTTTGAATTAATTCACATGCAAGACCCTTTATTGTCCCAATTTTTCTAAGGCTAAAACTGAACTTTTTAAATTGGCTTTACTATAAAGAATACTGTTAAATATCCCCTAAAAGTAGCATTTTATTTTGTGGTGATTCTTAACAAGTTGTGTTTTTTCCTTTGATTTTTCATCTCTTGTTTAACCCTCACTAGAACTCTGATGGGATGAAAGATGTAAAGGATAAACCATCATCCTTCTCTAAAAAGGGTTACAATTGAAAATACTCAACACACTTTTTAACTCAGAGAAATAACAAAATTTCTTATGCTAAAAGTGGCTCCAATAAAACTTTTTACAAAAAAGAGAAAGTGAAAACATTGCTCAAAAATTTCAACAGCTCTCAATCACCTTAACTCAGAAAATCCATCTTCTATGCATTATCTTGAACCTACTCCCTGCTCCAAGCAAACTGAAACTGCTTGCTGTTCCTCAAAGTCTACATTTGTAAACTTCTGCTTCATATTTTATACTGCTCACTCTCTCTAGAGTGTTTTTATTCCTTTATCTGCCTTTGAAAATGTCATTCATTCTTGAAATTCATCTCAAAAACCACATTCTCCTAAAATCTTTATAGCTCTTACATAGTTCCTTTATAGTTCCTAATGATCTTCCATGGCACTTCATTAATATACTTAATGTGATGGAACTTATTCTGCTTTATAATGTAGTTATTTGTGAATTTATTGTAATAATCATGCTAACAATAACACCAAGCATGGGAGTTGAAATTTATTGAAGGCTTACTATATGCTAGGAATTAACATGGATTATTTCTCTTTTATCGATGAGAGAACTGAGATTTTGAGAGATTAAGTAATTTACCCAGGGTTAAACCATATCCAGGTATGAATGATTCCAGAGACTGAGTGAAATCTTAGCCACTCATTACAAAATATTTCTTATAGGTTATATTGTTTTACTTACTTCTGCATTTCTGCAACATGTAAAATAGTAACTTTCAAATACTAGAAACTTAGTAAATAATTTATTACACTAGACCAGGGGTGGGCAAACTTTTTGACTCGAGGGCCATAATGGGTTCTTAAACTTGACCGGAGGGCCAGAACAAAAGCATGGATGGAGTGTTTGTGTGAACTAATATAAATTCAAAGTAAACATCATTACATAAAAGGGTACGGTCTTTTTTTTTTTTTTAGTTTTATTCATTTCAAATGGGCCAGATCCAGCCTGCGGGCTGCAGTTTGCCCACTTCTGCCTGCCAGCCTGATCACCCCCTAACCACTCCCCTGATGGCCTAATTGACACCTAACTGCTCCCCTGATGGCCCGATCACCCCCAACTGCCCTCCCCTGCTGGCCATCTTGTGACAGAAAAGAACAAGTCT